CTTACACACTGGCCCTAGCTCCCGGAGAAGGTGTGGTCCCATATGGCACAACTATACAGTACACCACTTTTGACCAGGGTCCATAGGGCTCTGGTCAAAAGTAGTGCACTATACATGGAATAAAAAAGTTGTGCACTATATATGGAAAAGGGTGCTATTTGGGACGTACTCATAACATTGTGTAGTGGAGCTCGATTAAATACCCTCGTAATTACCATCGTATGTCCAGACATGTATTATTAACCAAATATTTACGTCATCACTCATGATCTGACAAGGGGAGGGGGGATAATTTACGTAGCTGATGATGCGCTCCACCTCGCGCTTCAAAGTGAAGTGAGGCTCGAGCTAGATACCTCTCCCAAAGGAGCGCGCGGCGCAATCACGTTGAAAATAATTTTGTATTAGGAGAGAAAAGGGAAATTGGGAATGATCTCTGTTTTTCCGTTCGTCTTCTTGACTTGGCGTTATAACGCGCCGCTGTCATGTCAAACAAAATGATAGCAGTCAACCGCTTGACACAAGTAACAGAATGAGAAGACGCCACAGCCTCAGCCTTGACTGTGCACGCAAGGATGTCCGTACAAGTGCGCCAGTGAGCGTGTGTTTTGAATTCAAATGGGAACCAACACACACCAACCATCGATGGCAGAAAAAATGCTAAATGCAGAGCCTGAGACGGAGCCTGAGCCCACTGTATGATAGAACACTATTCAACACGAGAATCGATTCCATTATAGAATCAAATTATCATCAGACTATCCCATATCATTACCATAATTCACCATAATGCAGAACGTGACATGCGTTAAGTGCCCTTTTCAAACATGGATGACAATGCGTTATAGGTTTTTCTATACGAATATACTCAGCCAGGCATACTGAGAATAATAAGGATTGACGTACCATATTGACTTCAGACACCATGTCTATGCTGGCGATGTCTATGTTCATCCCCACTGCCACCGGCGCACCTGTGCAGCGAAGAAAAGCAAGTTATTAAAGGAGAACGGGATTCTTTCTTTCCCCTATTAGAAATAAGAATTTGCTGACCGTTATTCTAGAATGTGGTACCGTTATTCTACCAGTTGGTTGCTGTCAATGATAGATCACCATGTTCGCTCATCAATGTACATGATAAATGTTTTATGCAGTCTTAATGATCATCGTCGTCAATTAAAATGACTATAATCATCAGCGTCATCATTTGGAACTCCCTTGATGATTTTCGTTTCAGACAGAATGATAGGCAACCAGAAGTTCCACAGGCTGCGAATATAATTAATCATCAAGTTAGAGATCCGTCTTCTCCATACAGAATAGGCTAGCATGTCTTATTAAATCATTTGAAGGTGGTACATTGGAAAAGGTTTTTGGTGACGGGAAAAATACGTGTTTTATTTGGATGGTAGGCTATCACACTGTAATATCACTGCAATTGGAGAGGTAGCCTACTCTATGGATTGAAGATTGATCATGATGAGAAAAATTGTACCAGAGGTTTTTGCAGCAATTCATTAAACATGTATAGCACTGCACGTCATAAATGACTGCAAACATGACATTCAACATTTCGATTTGCTTTCCTTTCGCCTTTCTTCTTACCTCCGAAATCTGGCCTCAACCGAATGTCGTAGCCTTTCATCAGTCTGTCCACCGTGTCTTTAACCAGCGGCATATTACTGGGATCCCTCAGATCTTTGGCGCTGAGGGGAAAGACAGAACAGAAGGTGGTCGTCATGCAAATACCTTATTAAAGACATGATACACCGGGAAGACGCGTTAAATAGCCTAGGATACATGCCATGCAATGAGATTGAAGAATGAGCGTAAAAACACAAACTCCAATTTACCTTTGCGCACAGCAGATAAAAGTAAAAAAGAACGAAAATGTCAAAATTCCAAAGTGGTTTTTCCTGAGCTTCCCCATCGTAACAGTTTTGATGTGCTTTCGGGATGCGAGTGAGGAGAACGCACATCCAACTTACTCCAGAAAGCTCCGAGAACCCAATGAGGGACGCATGCGTACATCCTACCAGTAGATCAAACACTGGCGAGTGATGATTGTGGATGAGCGGTTTCCATTGCAGAGAAACAATTTAAAGGGACAAGTGGATGGATGACCGTAATGAAGAAAATATCTTATGCCATCCCGACCCGACCACTAGAACCTAACAGCCAAAATACAATTAGTATCATTCCAGCTTAAGCCTTATATTGGCTTATGTTGATAGTTCAGAGAACTTTGCAATGAACAGTGCAAACCAATTAATAAAATCAATAGGATATAGTGTATTAATAATAACATCTATAGGATTTCGTGTATTTATATTACAATCAATGGGATATAGTGAATTACAGTATTATACATTGTCAGATTCTCACAAATTTAAAGTCAACAAAAGTTTATTGTGTCAAATGTTGGGGCAATCAGTATAATTTCTCATTAGAAGTTGATAGCAAGACATTAAATCCTTAAATCTACAGACACAAATCACATCAAGTCAGACTAGATGATAACATTCATACAACTTATATTAATATAAAAACATTACAATCATAACAATCATGTGATTGTCAACATTTGTCTTGCACATCATGTGTTTAGAATGAAGGGGAAACATTTACAGCGCCCCTTCCAATCAAAACTTGTCTAAAAATGTTTACCTCACACACATATATATAACCATATGTATTGCACAACCCTAGCTTAGAGCAGCTCAATTCATTCACTCAGTTCAAACATTGCTGGCTATGACCAATAGCCACATAGCCCCTACCTATAATACAAGCATCCAGATATTACATCCACATCTAAATATGGTGCCTGAGTGTTTTAAAAGAGGCTACACAAACACAGCAGCTGTAATAGAAATATCATATCAACATAGAAAATAAAAAGCACTATAATAAAAGCCAAGGTAATCCCCAGGTTATGTGTATGCAGTGTTTTCACAGGCCTATCTGGGCACTATGAATCATCAGTGTTTTAAAGCCCCCATGCAGTCTTTTTCATTTGATTTTTTAAATCATCACTGTGTGTCTAATAAATCACTGTGTGTGTTTATTTCATGAAAATAACTCCACATATACATTTGTATAATTTATTTCCCTGAGCTTCCTTTTTCCATTGAAATGCTCAGTCTGACCGTGTGGGCGTGTTGATACAAAAATTAAATATATTTACATACACAGTCCTGATTGGCAGATAGGATCTTCTAGACTCTAGAGCCTAACCCGCTAACCCCTTCAAAGTAGGAAGATTAATATGCAAATAAAAGATCACTGGTCATTGGTCAGCATAATCAGATCAGATTGTGATGTCATGCTGTGGGCCAAAAACTCCATAGATGCGGTAAAGGGGTCAGTGCAACGCAGACCGTTCCATTGACCATATTGGCGCACATTCAACAAATCTGACCTAACAAAATGGATATTCTTCAAATTAGTAATGATTTATATATTATAACAGGCCCACAATGTGGTTAGTTAAGTCCGATTTGGATACATTTGACTGTTTTTGCTGCGTAACATTTAGAATTTGTCCCTTTTCAGGTTTAGAAGAAGTGACTCCTAAATGCTAACTCACGTTTGTATAAACTGGTAGCATAGCTAGCATACAGAAATCGGTGGTGGTAGTCAGTCATTTTTAACTGTAATGCAGTTGATTGGTGACGATGACATGAACATGTGTTGGGGTTGACATCCATACAAGCATTATACTCAGATTTTTACCTCAACATAATGTGAAATACACATAAACAAGACACATTTTTCTGGGTGGCAATGAGGACATTCTGAATCTTCCCCCCACAATTTCAGAGAGTTATTTTGACCTCAAGTGTGGAAATATGATTAAAACAAACTGTAAAATCAAGTTTTTGGCTGCACTGCCCCTTTAATACAACCATAACTAGAGACATGACTGGGGAGGAGAGAGGATATAGAAATATAGAAATTCAGTCAGTGAGTCCCACAATTCATATTGTCAAGTTGAGTAGAGTTCTATTTCGCAGGCCATGCAATACAAAATAGAATAAAGGAAAAAAGGAGAGGAGAGGGGGAAAGAGGAGAGGTGGAGGGGGAAGAGGAGAGGCTCTGCTCCTCTTCATGTCTCTTTGATCAGTGTTGTATTGGGGCCTGTGACTCTGTAGAGGACAGCAGGCTTCTGAACAGCGTTGGTTCACTGTTGCATCACCAGTTACAGACATCATAGATTATATCATCCACTTATTTTTTATATGTGTGTTGGTGTGTGTCTTTAGGGATGCTGGAGAATCAGAAGTACCAAATGCATCCATGTTTACATTTACATTACATTTACGTCATTTAGCAGACGCTCTTATCCAGAGCGACTTACATGAGCAATTAGGGTTAAGTGCCTTGCTCAAGGGCACATCGGCAGATTTTTCACCTAGTCGGCTCGGGGATTAGAACCAGCGACCTTTCGATAACTGGCACAACGCTCTTAACCACTAAGCTACCTGCCGCTGTGCCAATAACTTATCCGAGTAGGTCTGAACATAAATAGGTTTTTGTATTCATTTCCTGCGTGGACTGAAAGTAATGTGAATGTTGAGTACTTGTTGGTAGAGCGAAGGACAGCGATGAACGAACAAGGTGTCTACAGAACATGCCCCGTAGATGACATCAGTTGGAGCAAGGGGCTCAATCCTCTCTGCAAGGACAGAAACACACAGAGACAGAAACACACAGCATGAGGATTGAGAGCAGGGCAAATCACACACACAGAGAAAGTTTAAAGATGTAGATATCTTTCACTGATAATGATATACTGTAAATTACAGTAATGCTCTCTCTCGCTCTCTATACTTCAAAAGGTACCAAGTCAGAGACTCTATGCCATCTGTCCTCTGAATATACTCTTGAAAACTCCAAAGTCAGAGACTTAGAGAATAAGAGTTGAAGACTTCAGCTCCAGTAGCTATAACAGGGTCCACCATCTTGTCTCTGTCCTTGTAGTGCAGAACGTTCTCAACAAAACAAGCATCAACATTCTGTGACAGGAACATGATGGGCAGATTTACACTCCACGCTCTTACGTAACGACTGCTTCCTCTGTCTGTGTGTGTCTCTCGCTCTCCCCAGAATGTCTCCCCACCCATATAGGCGGGGGCTCAGCAGAGCGGAGGGTGAGCTAAGAAGAAGCACATCTCTCCCTGCGGGCCGCCCATCTTTGTAGTCTCTCTAACGTCTCACCACATCCCCTCCCTTCCTATTCTTCTCTGGAGTACTCTCCCTCATCATCTCTCCCCCTCCCTCTCTTCTCTTCCTCTCCATCTCTCTGTAGTCTCTCTCCCTCTTGTCTCTGTATAATCTATATGTGTGTGTGTGTGTGTGTGTGTGCGTCTCCCTCTCTCAGTCAGACAGAGCTTTGTGTTCTCTAAGTGGCTCAGTCACAAGAGGAGAAAAGTTGCTGTTCCTGTCCCTCAAATCCATTCCCAGTGGAGGAGAAATATTATTAAAATGACTGTCTGCACCCTATTCCCTACGTTGTACACTACTTCTGACCAGAGCTCTATGGGCCCCAGTCAAAAGTAGGAGGGAATAGAGTGTAGTGCTATTGGGCATACGTCAGGGTTTTTAAGCCCAGGTAAAACCTAGAAGGTGGAGGATTGGGATATATGTCATGACGACTACGCCTAGACGATGGTTGAGAGGTGTATGACGAGCCCAGGAGAGAAGGAAAGAAGAGAGAGAGAGGGAGAGAGAGAGAGAGAGAGAGAGAGAGAGGAGAGAGAGAGAGAGAGGTGAGAGAGGAGAGAGAGAGAGAGGAGAGAAGAGAGAGGAGAGAGAGAGAGAGAGAGAGATAGAGGAGGAGAGAGAGAGAGAGAGAGAGAGGAGAGAGAGAGGAAGGAGGAGAGAGAGCGAGAGCGAGAGATAGCGTCTCTCATCTCTCTAATGCATCTCTCTATTCTACTCTCTCTCTATCTCTCTCTCTCTCTCTCTCTCTCTCTCTCTCTCGACATAATTCATGTCTTTACTGTCTGGATAAAAGTATTTGACAAAAACAGTGGGTAGTAATTGTTACGCTGCTGCAGATCATCACCAGAGAGGAGAAGGCATAATTACATGCGGTGGGTCTGTGTTGTGGATACAGATTCAGAATGGTCCAATATGCAGCTGATTCAGGGCGTGTCCCAAATGGCACCCTATGGGGGGCTCTGGTCCTAACATTTAACAGTAACACCGATGAGAAGGTCCTAACATTAAACAGTAACACCGGTGAGAAGGTCCTAACATAAAATCATATATTAAAGGGCAATGTTTTGTTCTGTGACCTAAAAGTCACCCTATCTGTTATTCATTGCAATGAAACACCAGAGTCTTTTCACTACTTGTAGTATTTTAGTGTCATAGGCCAGGGCTATTCAACTCTGACCCTACGAGGTCAGGAGCCTGCTGGGTTTTCTGTTCTACCTGATAATGAACTGCACACACCTGGTGTCCCAGGTCTAAATCAGTCCCTGACTAGAGGGGAACAATGAAAAAATGTAGTGGAACTGGCTTTGAGGTCCAGAGCTGAGTTTGAGGGTCATAGACAATGTTTCTGGCCTGAAAATGCAATTATTTTTTAATGATCTTTGTATATCCTACAAGTTTAGCCACCAATATTTCATCAACATACCTGGCCTGTTCCATGGTGTCCTAATATAACAGAGTAGAGACTTTATTAACTCATACCTGGCCTGTTCCATGGTGTCCTTGCCCAGGTATATGATCCAGTAGAACAGGTTGAAGAGTGCGAAGGCCAGGGGGAACATGATGCGGGAGTACTGGTCTATGGGGCTAGTGCCAGCCAGCGCTGGGATGGGGGGCACAGCTGAACCCTGCTGCAGGAAGATGGGCAACTGGAGGGCCAGTGTCCGTCTCACTCTGGGCTATGGAGTTATACCTCTTCTTCAGGCCCCCACTCTCTGACAGGGGCTGGGGGGGACAGAGTAGGGTGGGGAGATGGTGGAGGGTTAGGGGTGGAGGTAGAGGAGGGGTGGAGGGTTAGGGGTGGACGTAGAGGAGGGGTGGAGGGTTAGGGGTGGAGGTAGAGGAGGGGTGGAGGGTTAGGGGTGGACGTTAGAGGAGGGGTGGAGGGTTAGAGGTGGAGGTAGAGGAGGGTTGGAGGGTTAGGGGTGGAGGTAGAGTAGGGTTGGAGGGTTAGGGGTGGAGGTAGAGGAGGGGTGGAGGGTTAGAGGTGGAGGTAGAGGAGGGGTGGAGGGTTAGGGGTGGAGGTAGAGGAGGGGTGGAGGGTTAGGGGTGGAGGTAGAGGAGGGGTGGAGGGTTAGGGGTGGAGGTAGAGGAGGGGTGGAGGGTTAGGGGTGGACATAGAGGAGGGGTGGAGGGTTAGGGGTGGAGGTAGAGGAGGGGTGGAGGGTTAGGGGTGGAGGTAGAGGAGGGGTGGAGGGTTAGGGGTGGAGGTAGAGGAGGGTTGGAGGGTTAGGGGTGGAGGTAGAGGAGGGTTGGAGGTTTAGGGGTGGACGTAGAGGAGGGGTGGAGGGTTAGGGGTGGAGGTAGAGGAGGGGTGGAGGGTTAGGGGTGGAGGTAGAGGAGGGGTGGAGGGTTAGAGGTGGAGGTAGAGGAGGGGTGGAGGGTTAGGGGTGGAGGTAGAGGAGGGGTGGAGGGTTAGGGGTGGACGTAGAGGAGGGGTGGAGGGTTAGGGGTGGACATAGAGGGTTGGAGGTTTAGGGGTGGATAGAGAGGAGGGTTGGAGGGTAAGGGGTGGACGTAGAGGAGGGGTGGAGGGTTAGGGGTGGACATAGAGGGTTGGAGGTTTAGGGGTGGATAAAGAGGAGTGGTGGAGGGTTAGGGGTGGACGTAGAGGAGGGGTGGAGGGTTAGGGGTGGACATAGAGGAGGGGTGGAGGGTTAGGGGTGGAGGTAGAGGAGGGTTGGAGGTTTAGGGGTGGACGTAGAGGAGGGGTGGAGGGTTAGGGGTGGAGGGTTAGGGGTGGAGGTAGAGGAGGGGTGGAGGGTTAGGGGTGGACGTAGAGGAGGGGTGGAGGGTTAGGGGTGGAGGTACAATGCCCATAGGAAGACAGAGATTACACAGGGAGGAGCTCAGTACTCTAGGGTTGCGTCCCAAATGGCACCCTATACCCTACATAGTACACTACTTTTAACCAGGACCATAGGACCCATAGGGCTCTGGTCAAAAGTAGTGAACTATGTAGGGAATAGGGTGCCATTTGGGGCGCACACCTTCAGTACAGCTTTGAGCTCCTAGTTGTACTCTGTTCATTTTCACACTCATTAGAAACATCTGACCATGAGCCTAACACTACTAAGACGTCACTCACTCAGCCTATGTAGAAACATCTGACCATGAGCCTAACACAACTAAGACGTCACTCACTCAGCCTATGTAGAAACATCTGACCATGAGCCTAACACTACTAAGACGTCACTCACTCAGCCTATGTAGAAACATCTGACCATGAGCCTAACACTACTAAGACGTCACTCACTCAGCCTATGTAGAAACATCTGACCATGAGCCTAACACTACTAAGACGTCACCCACTCAGCCTATGTAGAAACATCTGACCATGAGCCTAACACTACTAAGACGTGAGCAAACTCTAGAAGGATGACAGCCTACCATGCACAGTGACTTACTGGATTAGCATTTAGCATATACCATATAGTATATAGCATATAGAATACAGCATATCGCTAGCTATCTACCTCCACAAAGATATGAGAGCATGACAACTGTGTGCATCACCATTTAATGTGTGGTGTTATGTAGTTGAATGGGGAGAGTCTTAGAGATGGTGTTCTATAGTTGAATGGGGAGAGCCTTAGTGATGGTGTTCTGTAGTTGAATGGGGAGAGCCTTAGTGATGGTGTTCTGTAGTTGAATGGGGAGAGCCTTAGTGATGGTGTTCTGTAGTTGAATGGGGAGAGCCTTAGTGATGGTGTTCTATAGTTGAATGGGGAGAGCCTTAGTGATGGTGTTCTGTAGTTGAATGGGGAGAGCCTTAGAGATGGTGTTCTATAGTTGAATGGGGAGAGCCTTAGTGATGGTGTTCTATAGTTGAATGGGGAGAGCCTTAGTGATGGTGTTCTATAGTTGAATGGGGAGAGCCTTAGTGATGGTGTTCTATAGTTGAATGAGGAGAGCCTTAGAGATGGTGTTCTATAGTTGAATGGGGAGAGCCTTAGTGTAAATGCTGCTCGTTACACTTACAGCTGCATACTGTAAAACCCCTAGCTACCAATCCCTAACCACGTCTGTGTATTTGTGAGTGTGTGTCCACCCATCCCATCCAGTAAATAACTTACAGATGAAGCACTCTCATCCTCCTCCTCATCATATCTTGCTTCAGCCAGGACCTCCAGTTTCTTCTGCCTGGCGTTCTTCTTCAGTCTGTTGGCCTCCAGCGTAGCAAAGTAGTTGACGGCGGCGAACTCGATGAGCGCGGACGCCACGAAGGCGAAACACACGGCGATGAACCAGTCCATGGCTGTAGCGTAGGCCACCTTGGGCAGAGACTGGCGGGCGCTGATGCTGAGGGTTGTCATGGTGAGGACCGTGGTGATGCCTGTTGGTTGTTAGGATAGGGGGAGATGGAGACCATAGAAACAGAATTAGAACACTATCATATCTTTGTGTTTGAGACAGGGTTCCAATTACACATTTTCATTCAGGGATGCCCTGATAAATTATAGGATGGGTTAAAGATCACGTATTCAATAGTGTGTACCCAAAGATAGGGTCTGGGGCCTCCCCATAACTCATTTTGGGCATCCCCATACATAATCCTTAGAATGTAACTTGGGGTACCCTCATAACCATTAAATATATTATTCTGTTATTAAAAAACGGTGAAATTGTGCATGTTCTTTTCAGGCTCAGACAGAGATGGATAAATGTTTACACCTGCTACATTAGGTTAGATACACACAGACCACATACGCCGCTGCATGAGAGAGGAATGTACACAACCCAAAGACGAGAGAGTGGGATAGAGACAGTTGTTGAAAGTCTGCCTTATCTACTTTGAAAAACTAGTCAAATGATTTAGTCAGACAGCTCTGCAATATACTTAGGCAGACTAGCCTAGCTAAATAGGATGACTAAAGACAGTACAGTATGGGGGGGGAACAGAGATAATGTTAGATGGTTGTCTGGCTGGCTGGCTGGCTGCTACTGCCTGAGCAGAGATGATGACTTTAAGGAATGAACAATTATAAAGTCCTCAAATAAAATATATTATTATTGCATAGTAATATCCTATTTTTCTATGTGGACCTGACAGAGACAATGGAATATTTTGGCAATTGAATGTTCACTATTTTTGGCTTTGGAATTTCCATTAAAAAGCTCTAATCACTTTAATGTAATTATTTTATAATGCATTTAATGTTTAAGAACATAATTGAAACCAAAAACCAGGATATGTTTTTAATAATCAAACCGACCTCAAAAAGCAGTGTAGGCTACACTTATTACACGTGGAGAGAGAGAGAGACACAGACAGAGACACAGAGAGAGACACAGAGAGAGAGAGACACAGAGAGAGAGAGACAGACAGAGAGACAGAGAGACAGAGACACAGAGAGAGAGAGACACAGAGAGAGACACAGAGAGAGAGAGACACAGAGAGAGAGAGAGAGAGAGACAGACAGAGAGACAGAGAGAGAGAGACACAGAGACACAGAGACACAGAGAGAGAGACAGAGAGAGAGACACGGAGAGAGAGACAGAGAGAGAGAGACAGAGAGAGACACAGAGAGAGACACAGAGAGGCAGAGCGAGAGAGAGAGCGAGAGACAGAGAGGCAGAGCGAGAGAGACAGAGCAACAGACAGACAGAGAGAGCGACAGAGCGACAGACAGACAGAGCAACAGACAGAGAGACAGACAGACAGAGAGAGAGACAGAGACAGACAGAGACAGATAGAGAGAGATAGAGAGAGACAGAGAGAGACAGAGAGAGACTAAGGGACAGAGGGATGTTATCATACTAGCCACAGGGACAGAGGGATGTTATCATACCAGCCACAGGGACAGAGGGTTGTTATCATACCAGCCACAGGGACAGAGGGTTGTTATCATACTAGCCACAGGGACAGAGGGTTGTTATCATACTAGCCACAGGGACAGAGGGTTGTTATCATACCAGCCACAGGGACAGAGGGTTGTTATCATACCAGCCACAGGGACAGAGGGTTGTTATCATACCAGCCACAGGGACAGAGGGTTGTTATCATACTAGCCACAGGGACAGAGGGTTGTTATCATACTAGCCACAGGGACAGAGGGTTGTTATCATACTAGCCACAGTGCGTGCAGGGACAGACTCTTTGTTGATCCAGAAGGCTACTTGTGACAGCACCACCACCATAATCAGAGGGATGTACGTCTGAATCAGGTAGTAGCCTAGCTTCCTCTGTAGAAGAAAATGGACTACCATGACAGAGTAGTCACCTGAAAGACAAACAGGATAGGTATCAGTAGAGAGCAGCGGTGAGAGAGAACACAACACTGATACAGGGAAGAAGAAGATATGGAGTGAGAGGAGAGGAGAATTGTCCTTGGACCTGGAAAGGCTGTAGAGATAAATGTATAACCAATTAGAGACGTATAGAGAAGATACTGTATCTGACTGGACGCGGGACGGGAAAAACCACCTACCCTGAGACAGAGCAAATAACAGAAGAATAACATTTGTTCCATCATTTAGCAGACTCTCTTATCCAGAGTGACGTACAGTTAGTGCAGTCATCTTAAGCTACATACCACAGGCATAGAAAGTCAATTGTTCCTCAGTAAAATAGCTATCAGTAGAATCAGAGGGGGGGGGGGGGGGTTTGAGGTGAGGAGGAGGATTATTTAAGATACTGTTTGAAGAGGTAGGGTTTCAGATGTGTTCAGAAGATGGGCAGGGACTCGGCTGTCCTAGCTAGCTACAGGGGGAAGGTGGTTCCACCATTGGGGTGCCAGGACAGAAAAGAGCTTGGACTGAGCTGAGCGGGAGCTGCTCTCCCGTAGGGGTGGGAGGGCCAAGAGACCTGAGGTGGAAGAACGGAGCGCTTGGGTTGGGGTGTAGGGTTTGAGCATAGCCTGAAGGTAGGGAGGGGCAGTTCCTCTTGCTGTTCCGTAGGTAAGCACCATGGTCTTGTAGTGGATGCGAGCTTCGACTGGAAGCCAGTGGACTGTGCGGAGGAGCGGGGTGACATGAGAGAACTTGGTAAGGTTGAAAACCAGGTGGGCTGCAGCGTTCTGGATAAGTTGCAGGGGTTTGATGACACAAGCGGGGAGCCCAGCCAACAGTGAGCTGCAGTAGTCCAGACGGGAGAGGACAAGTGGCTGGATTAGGACCTGCGCCGCTTCCTGTGTGAGGTAGGGTCGTACTCCACGGATGTTGTAGAGCATGAACCTGCAGAAGTGAGTCACTGCTTTGATGTTTGCAGAGAATGACAGGGTGTTGTCCAGGGTCACGCCAAGGTTCTTTGCATTTTGGGAGGGTGACACTTTGGAGTTGTCAACCGTGATGGAGAGGTCTTTGAGCGGGCAGGCCTTCCCCGGGAGGAAGAGCAGCTCCATCTTGTCGAGGTTGAGCTTGATGTGCTGGGCCAACATCCAAGTTGAGATATCTGCCAGGCACGCAGAGATGCCACCTGGGTGTCAGAAGGGGGAAGGAGAAAAGTAGTTGAGTGTCATCCGCATAGCAATGATAGGAGAGACCATGTGAGGATATGACGGAGCCGAGGGACTTGGTGTATAGAGAGAAGAGGAGAGGGCCTAGAAACGAGCCCCTTGGGGACACCAGTGGTGAGAGAACGTGGTGCAGACACAGATCCTCTCCACGTCACCTGGTAGGAACGGCCTGCCAGGTAGGATGCAATCCAAGAGTGTGCAGAGCCTGAGACGCCCAGGCCTGAGAGGGTGGAGAAGAGGATCAGATGGTTCACAGTGTCAAAGGCAGTGGATAGATCTAGGAGGATGAGAACAGAGGAGATAGAGTCAGCTAAGGCAGTGCAGAGAGCCTCCGTGACACAGAGAAGAGAAGTCTCGATTGAGTGACCCGTCTTGAAGCCTGACTGGTTAGGGTCAAGAAGATTGTTCTGAGAGAGATAACGAGGGAGTTGGTCAGAGACAGAACGCTCGTGTTTTGGAAAGAAAAGAAAGGTATACAGGTCTGTAGTTTTTTATGTCGATGAGTTGAGTGTTGGTTTCTTGAGGAGGGGAGCGACTCGGGCCAGAGGGGACTCAGCCAGTGGTCAGGGATGAGTTGATGAGGGAAGTGAGGAATGGGAGATGGTCTCCAGAGATGGTCTGGAGAAGGGAGGAGGAGATTGGGTCGAGTGGGCAAGTTGTCGGGCGGCCATACCTCACTAGTCGCAGGATGTCATCTGGAGAGAGAGGGGATAGAAAGAGGCGTAGGGTAGTTCTGTGTGAGTGAGACCAGTGGACTCAATAGGCTGAGTGAATGAGTAGCAGATGTCGTCAACCTTCTTTTCAAAAGTGGTTGACAAAGTCGTCTGCAGAGAGGAAAGAGGAGGTGGTGGAGGATTAAGGAGGGAGGAGAAGGTGGAAAATAGTTTCCTAGGGTTAGAGGCAGAAGCTTGAAATGTAGAGTGGTAGAAAGTGGCTTTAGCACCGGATACAGAGGAAAAGAAGGTAGAGAGGAGGGAGTGAAAGGATGATATGTCCTCCAGAAGTTTAGTTTTTCCACTCTTTTTCGCTCAGCTGCCCGCAGCCCTGTTCTGTCAGCTCGCAATCAGTCACTCAGCCACGGAGCAGGAAGGGAGGGCCGAGCCGGCCGGGAGGAAAGGGGGCAGTGAGAGTCATAGGATGCGGAAAGGGAGGAGAGTAGGGTCGAAGAGACAGAATCAGGAGACAGGAGGGAGAAGGATTTAGCAGAAGGGAGAGATGATATGATAGAAGAGGAGAGAGTAGTGGGAGAGAGAGAGCGAAGATTGCGACGGCGCATAGAAAGGGAGCCAGAAAAGGTAACAAAGTAGTGAAGGGGAGACCTGGAGGGGGTTGCAGTGAGATTAGTAGGCGAACTGCCTCTAGTAAAGATGAAGTCAAGAGTATTGCCTGCCTTGTGAGCTGGAGGGGATTGGGAAAGGGTGAAGTGAAAAAAGGCAAGGAGGGGAAAGAGAGAGTTGGAAAGAAATGGATGAATCGAAGGCAGATGTTGGGAGGTTGAAGTCGCCAAGGATGAAGAGCGGTGAGTCATCGCCAGGAAATGAGCTTATCAAGGTGTCAAGCTCATTGAGGAACTCTCCAAGGGCACCTGGTTGGCGATAGATGATAACAATGTTAATCTTGAGTGGACAAGTGACTGTGACAGCATGGAATTCAAATGAGGAGATGGAGAGGTGAGAGAGGGAGAATAGAGAAATGATTAGCCCTATGCCTCCACCATGACGACCAGATGCTCTCGGACTTTGAGAGAAAATGTAGTCAGATGAAGAAAGAGCAGCTGGAGTAGCAGTGTTCTCTGGGGTGATCCATCTCTCAGTCAGGGCCAAAAAGTGAAGGGACTGAAGGGAAGCATAGGCTGAGATGAACTCAGCGTTCTTGACCACAGATCAGCATTTCCAAATGCTGCCAGGGTACACTAAATTAGAAGGGTAGCAGCCAAGGGGTGGGGAGTGTCTGTAAAGCCTACAGGGAGAGGTGCAAACTGGTATAGAAAACATACATAGTTGCCAAAGCTACAAAAAGAAAACAAATTAGATCTGAAAAGAACTAGGTAAAACACTCAAGTGAGAGAGTGGTGTGGAGCCTTCCTCTCCTTCCTCCCGCAGAACAACTCGGCAGAACCGTCTTTGTTTCGGCGATGATCTTAGTTTTGTGACAAAACTGACACAGCCGCCGCTTACAGCAGCCGCTGTGAAACCACGGGAGACTGAAGTACTAACACTCATTGCTATTTGCCTAGCAGAAGTGGAGAGCACACCTCCCGGTATTAATTGCTGATTGCCTAGGAGAGGTGAAACCACTCCCGCTCCAATACAGCCACTGATTACCAAAACAAGTCACAAATTGCCCCGCCCCTTTATCCTGGTTGATGTGTCAACAACTATCTGCAAATTATGAGCAGTCAGCAGTTCACACACCAGGTAGGCCACTGGGAAGACAGGCAGCACTTAAAGTAGATGGCCCTAGCTAGCAAAAAGACAGCACTAGACCACAACAGATAAAGACAAAAAAGTATCCTTATCAATCCTGGAGATATTAGGAGTCCTCTAGCTATGTAACCCCCTACCCTGTGACAGAGCAGATCAGAGAAGAATAACCCCCCACCCTGTGACAGAGAAGATCAGAGAAGAGGTGGGGTGCAGAGGGATGAGGGAGAGAGAGACAGAGGGAGAGAGGAGGGGAGCAGAGGGGAGGCAGAGAAAGACAGAGGGAAAGAGGAGAGGAGAGGAGAGAGAGAGAGAAAATGGGACGGGGGAAGGAAATATAGTGTGAGACAGCACCAGAATCACAACACTCTGTCTAAACACTCCACCTCTCTCCTTTCTCTCAATTCAATTAGAAGGGGTTTTATTGGAATGGGAAACATATGTTTACATTGCCAAAGCAAGTGAAATAAACAATAAAACTAAAGTGAGAAGAAACTAATTTAACAACATCAACAAAAAAATTAGAAATTAACAGGTAAACTCAAAAGGTTTTTTTTAAAAAAGTTTAGACATTTCAAGTCTTTATTATCAGTGTTTTAGCAATGTGCAAATAGTTGTCGTCCTCTCCCTCCCTGTTATGGTAACTGGGCCAATCCAGCCCTATCTTTGGGAGACTGCCTCCTCCTCGCCTCTCTGGATTCAGTTGGTGTTAAGGAATGGGGGGTTTGGGGCTGGAGAAGCATTTCTCCTATCTCTATTATTATTAGATATCTTTCTAATGTGGGGGCTGGATTACTGGGTATATGTCTCTGTAATGCTAGGTCTTTTGTTTGTCTCTGTATCTGTCTCTGTTAGCTAGTTTGTAAGGGATTTTTAAAAATTCTCTTCTTAATTAAGATAATCGGTAGACTCTATCTCTTCTCTCTCTCTTCTTCCTCATCTCTCTATCTCCTATCTATCTCTCTTCTTTCTCTATTCTCTCTCTCTCTCTTTTCTCTCTCTCTCTCCTCTCTCTCTCTCCTCCCTCTAGGATCACTCATAGGGTTCTAAGCTCCACAGTTCTTTTTCTAAAGGCAGACCACACGCATTAGGCTTGACCACTTAAGCATCTTAGATGGCTGCTCAAGGAAATGTGAGCTCTTAGGAGGAAGCTGCTATACTGTACTACCTACTGGCAGGCTTGTGGGAGCAGTAATGGATGCTGTTACTGTTATAGGCTGTATCTCAAATGGCACCCTTTTCCCTATACAGTGTATACTTATGACCTGGGCCCATAGGAATAGGGGGCTTTTTGGGATGCAGACATGACTAAGGGAAATCCTTTTTTGTCTGAATTTTTGTCTGAATTTTACATTTTAATGTGCTTTCCTGGATATACCAAATACGTAGACAATGTGGCATTTTGTCCACACACATATATTACAGTTAATGCGTAAATGTAAACAATTATAATAGCTTACAGTCTTGGTTATCACCATTATCACAATTAATTAATTTAGGTGTTGTAAATATTCAGTTTGATAGGCACGCACGCACGCACACACACACACACACACACACACACACACACACGCTTCTCGGTATACCAATGGTTTGTAATTTGTATTGTAGCCTACAGTGGGTCCTTACCTGTGTTGGACTTGAATGTTTCTGTGGATAACTTCTGTCCCACCAGGTCATACTGTAGCAGACTGATAGACTCCTGAGGACAGTCTACGGAAGCTTCCAGGCCCTTCCTCCAGGTAAAGGTGATCTCACTGCTCGTGTATGCATCTGATGTATACAGAAACAAGTTCATTCAGTTGTCATACCATTCCTATATATATATATAATGTTCACAGAAACAACAAAACATTTTATGCGTCTGAAATGGCGCCCTATTCCTTATATAGTGCACTAATGTAGTGCACTATAAAGGGGATATGGAGCAAACTAATTTGAGGAATCTGGAGCATTAGGATGTGCATGTTACTGTTTCAGTGCATGAAGCAAACTCTCTCTCGCTCTGCTCAACGCCAGGTTCATGTTTTGTTATGATCTATCACTTCAAAACATTACTTTTATGGCTGTCAAACTAAAACATTTAAAATATTGAGTTACAGTTTTTCTCAATTGCTAAAACACTAAACCCTATTGTCTGAACCAAATGCTCAGTTGCCTGAACCCACTGATTGAATCAATCACTCTTTTGGCAAAACCATAAGCACTTTTCACCTGTTTAGACATAACTTGCCAACACATTTTCATTGTGATGCACCCGTGCTGCATAATGTTGAGCACAGGTGACAAAAGTCAAACACAATTAGAGCACAGGTGTCACCACTTGAACACAACAACTCAAAATTGATCACACTTGTGGCTAATGATGTGAGGGAACATATACAGTAAGCCAGTTCAGAGAGCACTGGTTTGTGAGGCCCTACAATGGATAGAAATCTGAGAGGAAGAGTTCGTGTGAGAGGAGGTCGAGGTGGTCAGCGAAGACAAAGAACAGTAATATCTGATGAAATCAGAGCTACTGTGATTGACCATGTTCTTGTCCATGGTATGAGCATGAGGGAGGCTGGACAAAGGGTACAACCAAACATCAGTAGATTCACTGTGTCCACCATAATCTGAAGATTTAGAGAAGAGAACAGGTAATTACCTTTTTTTGACATTATAGTACAGTATGTCAATGTTGACAGCAATTACTGTATGACATACTATATACTGTACCACAGTATACTGTAAGTAAATATATGTTTCAGTACATCACTGTACCAATGTACTGTAGTATTGTAATGGAGGGTTGGTCTAACTGTTTGTAGGCCTAGTATTCCATGTATATTTTTTGTAACTCCATGTTCTCTTTTTGTAGAATTGAAAGACTGCCACATGGGGGTGGGAGGACAGGTATGTTCTCCCCACACCAAGAGACCCTAATTGTTGATATGGTCCGTGAGAACAATGCCATTAAACTGAGCGAAATTCAGCAGAAGATCATTGAGGACCATTTAAATTTTGAGGGTATCAACAGTGTCAGCCTCTCTACTGTTGATCGTGTCCTCAAGCGCAACAGACTGCGCATGAAACAGCTATACAGAGTGCCATTTGATCGCAACTCAGACAGAGTCAAAGAGCAAAGATTCCAGTATGTACAGGTTGGCATATATCCAGACACATTCAATGTTGATTACTCTAAGTAGTGATTTACTGTAGTGGCCTAAATCACTTTTTCCGTATCACTTACAAAACTATATCTATTTCTACAGAGGGTTTTTCAACTGGATGCAATGGAAAGACCCCATCAATACATCTACATGGATGAAGCTGGGTTTAATCTCACCAAAAGGAGAAGGAGAGGCCGTAATGTGATTGGCCATCGGGCCATTGTTGGTGTTCCTGGGCAGCGTGGTGGCAATGTCACATTATGTGCTGCCATCAGCAATCATGGGGTTGTCCAACATCATGCCAACCTGGGGCCCTACAACACTCACCAGCTCCTCATTTTCCTCAATCACATGCGAGATGCTTTGTTAGGGCAGCAGGATGAGCATCCCATCTATGTTGTTGTTTGGGACAATGTGAGTTTTCACAGAGCCCTCCAGGTTAGAGAGTGGTACAATATGAACCAAGGTTTTATCAATCTTTGCCTTCCACCGTACTCCCCTTTCCTAAACCCCATTGAGGAATTATTCTCCTCATGGCGGTGGAAGTTATATGAACGCCAACCTTACACCAGGGTAAATCTCCTGCAAGCCATGGGACTTGCCTGTGGTGACATAGGTGTGGAGGCATGCCAAGCCTGGATACGGCATGCCAGGGGTTTTTTTCCCCCGTTGCCTGGCCAGACAAAATGTGGCCTGTGATGTGGATGAAGTCCTGTGGCCTGACCCAGTATGGAGACATGATGCTGTGGCTGAGTAATGCACTTATTTGTATATTTTTGTACTTTATTTTTACATGGGCTTACTGTACACAAGTGGCAAACGCATAAGATTTCTGTTTGTTTTTACAAGTGCTACATGTAAATGCACAAGATTTCTGTTTTGTCTTTTTGTACAAGTGCTAAATGCACAGGTTTTTTTTGTTTTGCAACATGCATTTAGCCTACAGTGAACAATAAACATTTATTTCTCCAGCTTCATTTCCTGAGCATTGTGTTTTCTATTTATCTACGTAGTGTTTAGTGACTGTTCAGTAGTGTTTTTTATTTTGATTGACTCGGGGCACGATTTGACAACATAGTTCAGTTTTGAGCACAGATTGAACTGTTTTGAGGTGAAAGTTTGGTTTTGCAAGAAGAGTCTGAGGTTTTGTGAATGTAGCTTGAAAATTGGGTTTTGTGTTCACAGTTAAGAGAAAAGGAGAGCAGCTTTCAAGAAATGTGTCTTAGCAATCGAGAAAAACTGTAATCGCAGGATTTGCTGTGATTAATCACGATTAATCGCAAATTCTGAATTTGCTCAAATTAAGCTGTAATTTAAGAATTTTCATACAATAAATATTACAAGAATATGGAGGTCTTGATTTTGTCTAAAGTAACAGTTACAAAAATTAGGTAAATTGAGAAAGCACACTTTCTTTAACCTCAACGTCAACCTGCATTGTTGTTTTTAGCTGTATAGATTATGTCTTTGGGATGATTTCTGTGTATTTTGATCGCTTTAAGACAATGCAATTAATCACGATTAAAAAACATCTGTGCAATAAAATTACAAAAAGTTAACTCGAGTTAACTGATTAACTCTGACAGCCCTAATTACTTTAAAAAAGAGCCAAACAAAGGAGATCCTAGACTGAGTACCCACAGCTGCCGAACCTGAGAGGACAGGTATGTCCGTCCATAGGGAAGTCCATGAGCCTCATGGGACACTCTGCACTGATGGTTAGTCTGAGATACAAATAGAACACACAACGTTAGACTTCTGATTTCATGATATAGATCTGTGTAAAAACGTGGCATACAGTACAACACAACTAGTTTATTCTGCGCAAAGCAGCACTGTACTGGCATAATTGTCAGTCTTAATGGGCTACAAAGCATTTTATTTAAAACACTTCTTCCTGTAGACTACCTCATGGTGAAGAGGTTCTACAGGAGGGCCCAGGGAGGAGGGGCTACCTCATGGTGAAGAGGTTCTACAGGAGGGTCCAGGGAGGAGGGGCTACCTCATGGTGAAGAGGTTCTACAGGAGGGCCCAGGGAGGAGGGGCTACCTCATGGTGAAGAGGTTCTACAGGAGGGCCCAGGGAGGAGGAGCTACCTCATGGTGAAGAGGTTCTACAGGAGGGCCCAGGGAGGAGGGGCTACCTCATGGTGAAGAGGTTCTACAGGAGGGCCCAGGGAGGAGGGGCTACCTCATGGTGAAGAGGTTCTACAGGAGGGTCCAGGGAGGAGGGGCTACCTCATGGTGAAGAGGTTCTACAGGAGGGTCCAGGGAGGAGGGGCTACCTCATGGTGAAGAGGTTCTACAGGAGGGCCCAGGGAGGAGGGGCTAGCTCGTGGTGAAGAGGTTCTACAGGAGGGTCCAGGGAGGAGGGGCTACCTCATGGTGAAGAGGTTCTACAGGAGGGTCTAGGGAGGAGGAGCTCAGGGCTCGGGGTACCTCATGGTGTAGAGGATGGTCCCGTTCTGCATGATGCGGAACAGCTTGTTGGGAGTGGTCATGTTGTGGGCGATGGAGTTCCTGGAGTTCCTGAAGAACGTGTCGGGCGTCCAGATCTTATCCACCATCTTGTTGTTGAGCCGCAGGATCTCCACGGCGCCGTCGTACTTCAGCCTCTCGTCCACCCAGGTCTGGCGGAAGAACATGTCTATGGTGTACTCCTGAGGAGGTAGAAGGCCAGGCATTAGATGACTGATCACCAGACAGGTTCTGGATCTAGAATGTAGAATCTGGACTTTAGAATGTAGATCTAAAATCTAGATTCCACAGTCCTGAAGAAGGCCAGAGGAATGCACAGTGCAATATGCAGGTCCTGCTCCAAACCATAGACATAATAAATGTGTTTGTAACTAACTATCTACAGTTAAATCCATTCAGACAAGACAGTCCAGAGAGATGCTGAGATGATTATGACAATAACCTCCTATAGATATTCATTCATCAATCCGTTTGAGCATTCAGTTTGCTTGACATATTGATTTAGAGGCTAAAATAAACATTCCGCAGGACCCTCCCCTAGTTAATGTATTGAAACAGACTAATTAACCGAAATGGCTCATTATGTAATCTACAGTTATCTAATCTACAGTCTGCCCATAAGGCAGCAGTGCAGTGGACATTGAAGCTAAATTGACACCCATATATAATAAATGCATTAGAAACTGTATGTAAACATAACATATAAACACAGTTGCCAATTGACATGTATGTGACAGTAAGCCTATGTGGGAATATGCTGTTTGTCTCTTACCATTTCCACATCTGATACTGGTCCAAAGCTGGTGACAAAAATATCTGTTTTCACCTCTGTAATCATACCTGAAAAGAATATAGTGATTTTAATTGTTGCCCATAAAAATATGGAAAACTGAGAAATGAAGCAGGTAAAAATACAGTACAATGTAATAGCCCGACTATGTTATTTCCTACTTATTCAATGAAAAGTTCTGTAGATGTAAGATATAGGAAAACATCAGAATAGAGGAGGAGGAGGACAGGCCCACCTCCGGATCCTGGTCGCAACCAGTTGTCATATCCATCTAGTAGTCGGTCCAGAATACGGGTGATGTTTTCACCTGCGTAGCTTTCTTGTCCATAGACACTGCCAACACTGTAAGAAATCAATACAATCATAATTGATGACAGTTTATACTGCCCTGTGTAGACCTATAGGCTTAGTAGGGTAAACCTATTAGGATTATGATTGGTATGTTTATTATCATACATAATTGACATACATTCAAGAAACTATAGAGGCCTACCCATTGATAAAATTAGAAAAAGGTTATTTTACTCACCAGGTCAAAGTGACCAAAATCTGAATCAAGAGAGACATCTTTGGCAGCAGGTGTGATAAAAAAAACGTTCCCTGTCAACTCTTTGAGTTGGAATTAAATAGCCAGCCTTTCTCCGTCCTCCGTTAGTCTAAACTGAATGTGTTTTAAACACAAGGACTTGTGAAGTAATCGAATTAGGAGATTAGCACAGAAAATCCAACCCATGTTTAGACTGGGGCACTTGTTAGGAATGTAAACATTTTCAGTTTTCTTGTATCCTCGGGGAGCTATAATCTTCCAGTTGTTAAAATGTATAATCTTGGATGGAATTTCAAGGATATTTGTAAGGAGTTATTTTTAGATCAAGATTATTGACCCCTTCTGTATCGCGCGTCTAAACAGCAGGTGGTGCTATCTATTTTCTTTGGCGGTTGAGCCACCAGAAAATCCACCAGCGAGGAAGTAACTCCAGGAAGTTTGTGGATGAACTGACTGGTGTAAACACTATCCCACACAACTTTTGTAATATTTTCTAGCTAGCTATATGTTTTGGGATGGTGCCATATCCTTAGGCTCGGTACAAGTTAGGACCTGAACATCGTTTGAGAGAATAAACATAATTTAGCTAGCTAGCCGGTTAGCTAACCATCAGATCAGGGTGCGTGAAAGGGTTGCTAGCCAGCAGCAGCATGTCGGTCCACTTCGAGGAGAGAAGCGGTGTTATCCCATGTAAAACACCATGGGGAAACTGGTCCCAAACCATGGAGGAGGTATTTATTGAAGTGAATGTTCCCCATGGGACGTCTGGCAAAGAAGTAACATGTAATCTGGGATCCAAACAGATAGAACTACGCGTCAAAGGTCAACGAGTCTTCAAGGTAGGCATCACAACAAACACATTTCAAAGTTAGGGAGTCAACGTTATTTATAATTTATTTTATTTTATTTTTTATTTAACCTTTATTTAACCAGGTAAGCCAGTTGAGAACAAGTTCTCATTTACAACTGCGACCTGGCCAAGATAAAGCAAAGCAGTGCGATAAAAACAACAACAACACAGAGTTACATATGGAATAAACAAAACGTACAGTCAATAACACAATAGAAAACCTATATACAGTGTGTGCAAATGTAGTAAGTTATGGAGGTAAGGCAATAAATAGGCCATAGTGCAAAATAATTACAATTTAGTATTAACACTGGAGTGATAGATGTGCAGAAGATGATGTGCAGAGATACTGGGGTGCAAATGAGCAAAATAAATAACAATGTAAATAACAATATGTGGATGAGGTAGTTGGGTGGGCTAATTACAGATGGGCTGTGTACAGGTGCAGTGATCAGTAAGCTGCTCTGACAACTGATGCTTAAAGTTAGTGAGGGAGATAAGAGTCTCCAGCTTCAGAGATTTTTGCAGTTCGTTCCAGTCATTTGCAGCAGAGAACTGGAAGGAATGGCGGCCAAAGGAGGTGTTGGCTTTGTGGATGACCAGTGAGATATACCTGCTGGAATGCATACTACGGGTGGGTGTTGCTATGGTGACCAATGAGCTAAGAGAAGGCGGGGATTTGCCTAGAAGTGATTTATAGATGACCTGGAGCCAGTGGGTTTGGCAACGAATATGTAGTGAGGGCCAGCCAACGAGAGCTGGGTAGTATATGGGGCTTTGGTGACAAAACGTTCGATTGAAGAGCATGCCAGAGGTCCAGACAACACATTGAACTCTATCTGAGACATAGTTGGTGAACCAGGCGAGGCAGTCATTTGAGAAACCAAGGCTATTTAGTCTGCCAATAAGAATGCAGTGATTGAGTCAAAAGCCTTGGCCAGGTCGATGAAGACGGCTGCACAGTACTGTCTTTTATCGATTGCGGTTATTATATAGTTTAGGACCTTGAGCGTGGCTGAGGTGCACCCATGACCAGCTCGGAAATCAGATTGCATAGCGGAGAAGGTACGGTGGGATTCGAAATGGTCGGTGATCTGTTTGTTAACTTGGCTTTCAAATACTTTCAAAAGGCAGGGCAGGATGGATATAGGTCTGTAGCAGTTTGGATCTAGAGTGTCACCCCCTTTGAAGAGGGGGATGACCGCGGCAGCTTTCCAATCTCTGGGGATCTCAGATGATACGAAAGAGAGGTTGAACAGGCTAGTAATAGGGGTTGCGACAATTTCGGCGGCTAATTTTAGAAAGAAAGGGTCCAGATTGTCTAGCCCAGCTGATTTGTAGGGGTCCAGATTTTGCAGCTCTTTCAGGACATCAGCTATCTGAATTTGGGTGAAGGAGAAGCGGGGGGGGCATGGGCAAGTTGCAGCGGAGGGTGCAGAGCTGGTGGCCGGTGTAGGGGTAGCCAGGTGGAAAGCATGGCCAGCCTTGGCAAAATGCTTATTGAAGTTCTCGATTATCATAGATTTATCGGTGGCAGTGTTTCCTAGCCTCAGTGCAGTGGGTAGCTGGGAGGAGGTGCTCTTATTCTCCATGGACTTTACAGTGTCCCAAAACTTTTTGGAGTTAGTGCTACAGGATGCACATTTCTGTTTGAAAAAGCTAGCCATTGCTTTCCTAACTGATTGTGTATATTGGTTCCTGACTTCCCTAAAAAGTTGCATATCGCGGGGGCTGTTCGATGCTAATGCAGTACGCCACAGGATGTTGTCAGAGCACCTTACCGATCACTGCACCTGTACACAGCCCATCTGAAATTAGCCCACCCAACTACCTCATCCCCATATTGTTATTTATTTTGCTCATTTGCACCCCAGTATCTCTATTTGCACATAATCTCTATCATTCCAGTGTTAATATTAATTGTAATTATTTTGCACTATAGCCTATTTATTGCCTTACCTCCATAACTTGCTACATTTGCACACACTGTATATATATTTTCTGTTGTATTTTTTGACTTTATGTTTTGTTTTACCCCATATGTAACTCTGTGTTGTTGTTTTTAATCGCACTGCTTTGCTTTATCTTGGCCAGGTCGCAGTTGTAAATGAGAACTTGTTCTCAACTGGCTTACCTGGTTAAATAAAGGTGAAATAAAAAAAAATTGGTGGCCTTCCTAAGCCAGGATTCAGACACTGCTAGAACATCAGGGTTGGCAGAGTGTGCTAACGCAGTGAATAACTCAAACTTAGGGAGGATGCTTCTGATGTTAACATGCAAGAAACCAAGGCTTTTAGGAGTAGGAGTGATAATGGGGGCTACAGGGCCTGGGTTAACCTCTACATCACCAGAGGAACAGAGGAGGACTAGAATAAGGATACGACTAAAGGCTTTAAGAACTGGTCTTCTAGGGCGTTGGGTACAGAGGATAAAAGGGGCAGATTTCCGGGCGTTGTAGAATAGATTCAGGGCATTAAGTACAGAAAGGGATATGGAAGGATATGAGTACAGTGGAGGTAAACCTAAGCGTTGGGTAACGATGAAAGAGATAGCATCACTGGAAGCATCACTGGTGGCACCGATTGAGTCGGTCTCCGCGTGTATGGGGGGTGGGACAAAGGAGCTATCTGAGGCAGGTTGAGCGGGACTTGGGGCTCTACAGTGAAATGGTATATTAAGAACTAACCGAAACAGCAATAGGCAAGGCATATTGACATGGGAGAGTGGCATAACGCAATCACAGGTGTTATTCGAGAGAGCTAAGACAACAACTGGTAATGGCGACGAAAGTTTGGGCTGAGGCTAAACAGATAAACAGGATGGGGTACCGTATAATAGAACAGTCCAGCAGGCATCAGCTCTGTAGCTGAGTGATCATAAGTTCCAGTGAACAGCAATAGGTGAGTCCGGGAGCAGTTCTTAGGCTGCTACAGCACAGGCGAGCAGGAGGCATGGCTGTTGGTTGCGTGTGCTAGTGGGCCGGGGCTCGCTAACACACGCAACCCATTTAATAAGGGTTACATGGAGAAAATCGGACCTCTCTGAAATGAAACTGGATGGCCCTCCCTTCAGCAAAATATATTTTACCTTCCCGAACGCTTAAAAAAAAGTAACTCTCCCTATACCAAAATAATAATTACAATTATAGTAGAGAACATGTCTACTGTTTACCCTCACTTATTGGACAGACCAGAGCCTTAGATATACAGTATTATACAACGGGTGGGTCGAATACTGAATGCTGATTGGTTAAAAATGCATTCCAGCTAGTGTCCATTTCACAAGTTACCAACGGCTAAATCTATGACGTTGAAATGCTTATTTACTCTGTTCCATCTGACTGCGCAATCCACTGTCTCATTAGCCCAGCCAGGCAATCCACTATAAAAAGTATCTAGACATTATCTCCCATTTTGTTTTAGACTAGCATTTGCTTTTCAAAGGCAGATATTTGTATAAACCTTGCTGTCTGTCTCTCCGACCTTTTCAATATTGAATTGCGATCTCCACCGTCCCATATAAAGTGAATGTGTCCGAAAGAGACGGACAGCAAATTGAGCTGGTTGTCATAGCAACATACATGTGATCACTTTTTTTTTTCAGTTTACTTGCTAAATCAATACTTTGTTGCGAAAACTAAAATGGATGAGTGGAACATTTTATTTTTCATATTTTCGGCGCATGACTATGGATGAATGGGAAAAATAGATAATACAATAATAATACCCAGGCATGCAGATTTGGGGGATACTGCATTAAATGAAAAGCTGCAACGAAAAAAAACACAGTTAAGAATACAAACTGGGCTGTGCGGTGCTTCGAGGGCTGGCTAGCGGAGAATAAAAAAGTTGTTGACTTCAAAACTGTCACTAAGGAAGAGTTTAACATCCTTCTCCAACAGTTTTATGGAAATGGAAAGGGGGAGCAGCACAGCAGAAGTAGCT